AGTCCTCCCAGTGTCACCCTAAGTAGCTGCTGAACTCTCCACCACTGTCCATTCCCATCACCTCTCTGCTAGGGGCTGGCAGTGGCCCAGTCCCTGGACTTGGTGTTGTCATGTACTTTCTTGTTTCCTGGAATAACTTTTCCAGCCTTTTCTGCACGGTCATTCCCCAGATCAAGGCCCAGTCACCATGGTCTTGGAAAAATCTCCAGATTCTCAAATCTGCCTGTAGAACCCATGTCACATGGCCCTGAACTTCACGGCCCTGACAGCTGCAGATTGCCTCCTGTCTATGTAATTCTTCGGCTGATGCCAGTTGTCCCCTTTGTCTGTAAGCCTCAGTTTACTCACCCCTATTCCATCACAGGGATCGCACCCAGGGCTAGACTGCCTGAGCTTGAATCACCATCTGTCACGTAATGACAGCAATGTAACCTTGGGCAAGTTAGAGAATTCAGGTGGTTCTGACCTATCTCATGGTGGTGTGGGAATTACAGAATCCAACATAAACTATCCATCACAGAGTGAATCCCTGTACATGATAGAGAAAGCCATTGGCCCCAATCCTTCACCCTGGTGGAAGTTCACACACTAGCCTTTGGCTCTTTATGGAAGGAATGACATCTTTTGCCTCTGTGACTGAGTTTGGCCATGTCACTTGCTTTGACTCAAAGAACAGATGGAAATGACCACATCATTTCCAAGACTAGGCCATAGGTGGTGACCTTGCGAATTCCCATTTGTCCTCTTGGACTTACGCCATTACTCCAAGATGTGACCTCCCTGAGTCACTGCAGCCCCCTCATTTCAGCCTGGGCCTAAGTGATCACACTTGTTGTGGCAAGGCTATTGAGCCCAGCCTGGCCCAGACCAGCCAATTCCAGCAGCCCTGAAGGTCAGTGACAATAAATGACCATTGTTTTAAGCCTGTGAGTTTGGGGTGGTTTGTTTCCAGTATTTTTGAGAAATAGATAACCTGTCAATTAATATAATGTTCCTGGCACAGTACCTATGACAGAGGAAATATGTTGGCTCCCTGTCCACAGAAGCTGTAACATGTCCTTAGGCTGGCCCTCAAAAGCCTTTCCGTAGCTTCTGAGCTGCCTTCTCTCCATTCATCCAGTGTCAGCCAGGGCTCAAGTACGGATGCTTGATGTGAGGGATAGATAGATCTAAGCACATAGCTGACAGATAGAGAAGGGGCAGGGGGAAGGAGAGAAAAGGAGAGAGAGACAGACTGAAAGATGACAGAGAAATAGGCCTTTTTCAGTTGGGATGGTGGCTGGGGTCATAGACCCTCTGCAAGGCCCTTGCTATCATGTCCAAGCTGGAACTCGAACTCCATGGCTGGTGGTCAGGAAGGGAGGATGGATATAGAGCTGGGAGAGCGAGGACCAGCAGGAGCCCACAAGAACAGACTGAAAACTGTCAGTTCCTGTTGCCACTGATCCTGGCCTTGAAAATTCATGTTCAGATGTGGGCAGGCTGGTCAGGAGGATCTGGGCATGGGGGTGTTTGCCCCATGACACTGGGGATCCTACAGACACCCGATAACACACATGTGCTGCTTCAGGTCTGTTGAGTCCCCTCAACAGGACCCCCACTAGAATCTCTTGTGACCCAGAAACACCCAGGACTAGGGATTCTTGGACTGTCAGTCACAACCAGTACACACATAACAAAGCCACCACGATTTTAACCCTCAGACCAATTTTTAGGACATTGATTAAAGGTGCCCTGGAAGTGGTGTGTTGGAGGGTAATGTTTTCTGGGTATTCTGTCCCAAGCCTATTAGCCACAGGTTTGGCTGGATGGTTACATCTCATGAAATGAAGAAGGAAGCAGAGACTGCTGAATACCCATTAAGGGTGAGATAGTTCTCATATTTGGTCTCATTTTGTACTTGAAGTGATTTTTGGGGTGAGCAATTTATCAAACCTATCTAACAGGTGAGGGTATCAGGGTTCATGCCTCTTTGTTCTTCCTGTGAGCTGGGCCTGTAGCTGCAAAGGGAAGTGATTTATCTTTGTTATAGAGAGAACAGGTGAAAAGTATAAGTTGGTATGGTTGTATCTTATTGTGTTTATTTGTATTGTCCTAATGCCTAGCAATGTTGAAGAGATTTTCATTACTTGCCATCTGTATAGATATATGTCTATCTATCTATCTATCTATCTATCTATCTATCTATCTATCATCTATTTATTGTGTGTGTGTGTGTGTGTGTGTGGTACTGGAGATTGAACCCAGGGCTTTTGCATTAAGCTACATACTCAGCCCTTCAAAATTTTTTATTTTTTTTATTTTGAGAGAAGTTCTAAGTCACTAAGTTGCCCATGCTGGGCTTGAACTTTCAATTCTCCTGCCTCAGTGTCCCACAGTGCTGAGATTAAAGCTATGTGACACTATATTTGGCTTTATAACCCCATTCACATCCTTTGTTCATTTTTGAGTTGGACTGTTTGTTCTCTTATTGTCGATTTTTTAGAGTTCTTTATATATTCTGGATCCAAGCCCTTTGTTGGATATATGATGAAAATAGTTTCCTCCAGCCTGTAGCTTTTCATTCTCCTGTGTCTTTTGCAGAGAAAACATGCTTAATTCTTATGAAGCCCGATTTCTTAAAATTTCCTTTCATGGGTAACATTTTTGGTGTCATGCATATGAACTTTTGTTTTAATCTTAGATTATAAAGATTTTTCTGCTATGATTTCTTCTAATATTGTTATGTTTTTTGTTTTATATTAGATCTGTGGTCTAGAATTTTTGTATGAGAAATAAAGCTTAGGTGAAGATCCTTTTAATTTTTATTTTTATTTGCCTAAGGATATTTAGTTGTTTCAACACCATTTGTTCAAAAAACTACTTTTTCCATTGACATGCCTTTGAACTTTTGTGAAAAAAAAATCAGTTGTGGGCTGCCACCATAGCTCAGTGGAAGAGCACTTGCCTAGCATGCACAAGGCTCTGGTTTGATCCCTAGCACCACCAAAATCTTTTATCATATTTGTGTGTCTATTTCTGAATTCTTTATCCAGAAGTTAACAGATATTTTCTGTCAAAACTGTATATATAGTAAATATTTTATGTTTAGTGCTTATATGGTCTCTGCTTTGTAGAATTTGATTTTATGATTTTTTAAAGAATATTACATAAAGACCATTCTCGGCTCACTGGCTAAACAAAAATCAGACTACGGCCAGATTTAGTCTTTGGGCTGCAGTCTGCTGATCCTGCTGTTCTGTGCCATTGATCTGTGTCCTGCCCATCACGGATACCACACTGTGTCAATGATGGCAGCTTTATAGGAAGTCTTAAAACCAGGAAGTAGGAGTGCTGCAACTCTATTCTCCAGTGCTTAATTGGGGCTTTTAGACTTCCGTTTTATGTAATTATTGATAGGTTTGTACTTTGACCTACCATTTTATTTTTTATTTGCTATTTCCTTTTTTTATTGTTATTATTCCTCTTTTCTTGCTATCTTTTGGGTTTGGGGGCATCTTTTTAATATTTTTTCATTTCAATTTTTGTGTTGCTTTTTTTGTCTACATCTCACAGTAGTTTCTGATTACACTAGGGATTATTACAATATACATACTTAACTGTGTAGTCTCAGAATCAATACTTGACCAGTTTACGTGAAATGTGGTTATATAACCCCATATAGATCCTTAACCTTCCCTCCTTTATGTAATTACTGTCTTATGATATCTACAGACATTGAAAACTCCATTGGACAATGTTACATTATGTGCTTTCAGCTTATATTCTTTAAAGAACTCAAGAAGGAAGAAGAGTCTGCTGTATTCACCCAGATGCTCATACTTCCTGCTGCTCTTCTTTCACTCCGGATTGTAGATCTTTCCTCCTGGCATCTTTGCCTTCTACATTTTAGGACAGGTCCTTGAGCCAAGAGTTCTCTTAGTTGCCCTATGTTTGAGAATGTCTGTCTCAGAGTGCAGATTTCACCTTCATCCCTGAAGGATACTCTCATGGGCACGTGAGGTGTGATCAAAATATATAGTGAATGTTTAGATTAAAAATTAGCACAGTAAGACACATTGCCATTAATCCTCAAAATACTCTTCACTTCAAACACACTCATCCCATCATTCTTGCCACTTTCTGAAGAAGTTCTGAGAGTCCTTTTTCATATCTTTACAAGGTGTGATCAAAAATATAGTGAATGCAATTGCTGAGTGCCATCTAACAGAAAAGTAGACTCATAAAAACATTACAGTGTGTCCTCATTCACCTTATTCACTGGATCTGGTACCATGTGACTTCTGGCTCTACCTCAAAGTAAAAATGACCATGGAAAGTAAATGTTTTGAATCAATTCAGGATATCAAGGCAGCAATGATAATACAAATAAATATACTTTGGCTCCCAGACTGTCCAATGTGAGTGCTAAGGTTTTTCTCACAGAGATGAGAAAACTCTTGGAGCCTGGGATGGGAGTTCAGAGGCCTAGGCCTGCTCAAGGCTGCAGGTGGGCATCTTGAGGGTCTAACTGCCTGCCCTTTCTCCTTTGCCTACGCCAGAAGATACATCTTGTCCACCATGGGGACTTGCTCATCTTGTTACCTCCACGCCCACCCTGACTCAAACGTGTTCCATCACACCGCCCATCGAAGAGAGGCTGACAGAGGAGAGTTTGGGCTCATACCTGACTCTGGTGCTCATGAATCTCAGCAAAGCAACTTAGAGGTGCAGACTGGCTCACTGGGAGAACAGCCAGATACTTACTGCAAAACATCCAACCCAGCCTACCCCAGCCCCAAAGCGACAGGAAACAAATAGTCAGTAAATGCCTCAGCATTAAACATTACTTGGCTAAGGCAGGATAGTCAATTTTGACACTGTTACAAAAAATACAGCTTAATTTCTGTTCAAATGCACCAAATTTACTGCCCAGATTCTCATTAACTACTGTCAAGGGAGAAGCAGATAGACAAGATAAATTATGAAAAAATTACTTTTTTAATGTACAAAAAGACTTATTTACAAGTTGAGCATGTCATCTCAATTCATAGCATGTAGAAAAAGCTAAAAATGTTTTGGAGATATAAATTTGGTTGGACAATTCACCTACAGTATATTCAAGGATGGCGTCTTCTGCACAGAATATATACAGGTTGGGAATAGTGAGTGCAGTCTCAACTCTGGAGGGGAGCACACACCACTACAAGCTGCAGAGCCTTGGTGATGTCCCAGGACTGTCATTTGGAGCTGGCCTTGTCTCTGGGCCTTAACAAGGAGTTTGATGTGCAGGGACACAGTGGACCCAGGTCATTAGGTTCTGGTCCTGCTTGCAGGTGTTGCTAAGAAGTTTCTCACTGAAGCCAAGGTTACAGCCAGAATAAAGCTCCGAGTGCTGCAGTTGGTTTGACAAGGTTGCTACACATTTAGCAGAAAGTCTGGGATGTGTGTATATGCATGGGTGTGTGTGCACAGGCTCGTGCGCATGTGTAGTAGCGCAGAAGATGCATCGACTCATCCTGCAGTGTATTCAGGAATGATATCTTCTTGGAGCCAGTTCCAAATTCCATTTTGAGGTGAGGCTTGATAACACTGAACAGGGAAATTCAGTGACGATCCCTCAGAGTCTAAGAATCAACCCCTTCACCCTCCCACCCTCACCCCAAACACCATGCATGTCATCATTCTCTGCCAAATAACTGGGGGGTGGGGGCACAGAGGTTAAGGAGCCTGGAAGGTACTGGGACAGCATGTTGTGGCTGGGCATGGACCGCTGGGCTACTGGCAGCCAATGGCCACTCAGCACAGAGGGGGAGCCTGGGTAGAGGCTGCTGTCAAACCCTTGTGTTTTCCATGGTAAAGTGGGAAGATAGTGCATTGGAGAAACAGGACTGGGTAAACATGTGACTTCCTCTTCTTACTGAGAGAGCTCTAGGGTGGCCTGAGGCTGGGCCCCGGATATGTCCCCACCTCCTTGAGGCCTAGTCCATCTCTAACCCAGAGCAGCTCCAGCAGCCCCGAGGTATTTAGAAACAAGAAAGGCTACATTCTCCATGCAGGAACACTGTAAACATGGTCAGGAGAGGCCAGGGCAGCCTCTGGACTTGCCCCACATAGTACATTATTTCTTTCCTTTTTCTGGCAATATTTAAATTTTATTCGTTCACATACACTTGGGCAATCTGTTGGTCCAAAACCATGCTCCAACTCTAACAACTGGTAGAAATGCCAAATCTACCAAACCTGGAATTACAATGTGCTTCCGAACCATCCCAGTATATTGTGATTTTTTCCTCTCTGGCAAGGGACCTCAGCAACCTCAAGACTTAAGCTCAATGAAGAATCCAGGAAGTCCAGAATTCCTTTTTTTCTGGCAGGTGGCAGAATGAGAAGCCCATCTTCCCAGAGCAGAATCTATAGTACTCCTTTCAGATTCAAACCCAAATGAAGCTCCTTACCCACTCTCCACATGTACTTGAAAGCCCTTGGCCAAAGTAATCCCTCATTAGCCAAATGACAGAGGGAAGAAGCCAGAACAGAGTGGTCCCATAAACACCAAAGGCTGGCATGCGCTGTGTAAATGAGTTTTTCATTCCTTTCTTTCCTTTCTGATTGAGACTATTTTTAGTGTTCTAAAAAATAGTCCCATGAGACCAGAGAGGATGCCCATAAACCCTCTCTTAAAATATCTGTAGTCTGAACCAGCCACTAGCAAAAACCCTTCAGGCTGATTTAACACTATTTTTTGAAAAGGATGAAATGGATGGGAGGATGGAATTGCTGCACTCCAGGGAAGTGAGGACCCCTCTGGGCCTGCTCTGTGCCAGGGGCCTTAGGTCATCATATTCAGGAACTTGTTTTCTTCGGCTAGGCTGGTGAGCATGGAGCTCATGTCCCCAACTGCCATGTTGCTGATGCCAGTGGGGATGGAGGGCAGGGTCAGGGAATTCCGGGGGGTGGTGAGGCGAGAGGAGCTCTGGGAGAGGTTGTGGAGGAGGCTGGGGCTCAGCGCACCAGAGAACAGGCTCGAGTGGTCACCATCATCCATGATGGCATCAAAGTCAATCTGGGGGGCCTCCAGGAGCTGGGAGTCCACAGTGCTGGATACTTGGTTGGCCCCCGGTGAGGGCAAGGGTGGGGGCTGGATGCTGTCTGGGCAGGCCTGTGGCTGTGGTGGCTGGGGCCGCACAGCTGGGCAACCTCCATGGCCTTCGAGGCTACCATTCTGCTCATACATGTGGATCTGGCCATAGTAGTAGAGCATGCTGTGGTCCTGTGTCCCCCCTGCATCCTGCAGGACCAGCTGAGGAGGCATCGACCTGATAGTGCCCACTGCTCCCTTGGTCACAACCTCTGCTGTCTCCTGGCTAACTGACATGGCAGCCATGGTCTGGCCAGTGGCCCGGGCATAGGCCAACTGCTGCTGCCCAGCACGTACCCCACGGTGGCGGCCAGCAGGGCTGGGCTCAAGGGGTGGCCGGGGTTGCACTAAGCCAAAGCTGGATTCACCCGGCCCCAAGGAGCCCTGCTGGGGTTCCATGAAGCCAGGCTGATGGGCAGGCAGGAGGCTGGGTGCCTGGCGGTAGCCTTCCTGATTCAGGGGGCCTGCCAAGTGATGGCTCTGCTGTGGGTAGCCCTGGGCTGGATGTGGTGGTGGCATTCCCAGTTCCCTGTGGTGGCTGCCCACCAAGGTGGGGTCAGAGGCAATTTCCATCTGCTGAGGGAGCCCCAGGACACCTGGCTTGGCTGCCAGACCGCTGCAGGAAGTGGGGAACTGGTTCAGGGCCCCATTGAGGCTGCTGGGGCTCAGCTGTGGGTGGGCAGGGCCATAGTTGCCCTGGGGGCTCCCAGCTGCAGTCATGCTGACACACTGGCCACCTGTGGCTGCCTGTCGAAGCTGCTGCATGTAGTTGCCCCTGGGTGCAGAGGGGGCTCCGTTGCGGGGCTGTGTGCCATCCAGAGCCCCCGAGCTTGGCTGCAGGTTCTGTGGACTATAGCCAGGGTACTGGACAAAGGCTGGCTTCTGCTGCACCATGGCCAGGTTGCCCTGGGGGAAGGGTGGCGGTTTCACCTGGCTGGGCAGGGCATCCACGGTGCCAGAGCTCACCTCATTCCACTGCACCGGCATGTTATTTTTGTTCAGACTGGAGGGTGCCCCATACCCCAGCTGGCAGCCTCCCATCCCAGGGGCGGGGGGTCCCACATTAGAGTCTGCAGTCACTACCCTGCGATGGCCGTGCAGTCCGGGGCTGGGCAGCTTGGAGTTCTCAGGGAAACCGGTACTCTCCGTGGGATACACCTGCCTTGTGCTCTCATCCAGTGCACCACCAGTGTGCGCCTTGATGTACTGCACCACATCATCTGGCAGCACCAGCTCGTCCTCTGGCAGCCCCAGGTCGGGCTCGGGCCCTGTACAGGTCACCCCTGAGGCCATAGCCTCCATCACCGCATTCTCGCTAATGCTGGGAGGCCTTGGGGAGTAGGCACTACGGGCCAGGCTGCCCTCGGTGCTCAGGTGGCTCTGCAGGCGAAGGCCACGCCTCTCCGTGCAGGGCAGCAGCTGGCCAGGGTTCATGTTGTGAGCGCTATGGAAGCGCTGCACGCGAGGCAGAGTCAAGGCATCGGGTCGCCTCACAGGGTCACTGGCCCGCCGCGCTCCTCCCGGCGCCTCGTGGGGGAAGGCGGGCGCAGCACCCAGGGGGCCGTGGGCGTGGCTATAGGCAGGTCCGTCACTGCCACGCCGCGGCCCCAGTGGGTGTGGGCAGGAGCCAGGCAGCGCGCGCTCAGGTGCATCCAGCAGCGACAGCCTGGTCCGCAGGCTCATGCGCTCCAGGCCAGGCAGTGGCGTGGGAGGCGGGCCGCCTGTGGCTGCGGCGTACTTGGCTCGAAGACTATACTGCTGCGCGGGAGTGAGATTGAGCAGCCCGGAGCCGCCTCCACTGCACTGGCTGGCGTCACTGGAGCGCCGCGATGCGTCTGTGGAGATGGGGTCATAGGAGTCCGCGGAGCTGGCATTGTGTGGGCGGCTGGCGCCCAAGGGCGAGGCCTCGCTGGAGCGGCGACTGGAGAAGTAGGGGGAGATGCCGGAGGAGCGGCGGCTCACGGTGTAGGCAGAGCTGACCGTGCTGGTGGAGCTGTCGCGGCGCTCCTGCAGCTGGCTCAGCATGGTGACCTCGCTAGCAGACAGCTCGGACAGCCGCGGGTTGGGCAGCAGCCCTGCTGGCCCGCCGCCCCCAGGACCACTGAAGTTTTCCAGGATGGAGCCTGCAGAAAAGCAGAAGGGTCAGCTATGGGGACATGGGGCCCTGCTATGCCTGCTCTGATGGTGCTGAGGCAGTCTGCTGAGCCCTGAGGCCTGGAACTGGCCGGCACACAATGAACACTCAGTAGATGATTTGTGGATGGAAGATGGGAGGGGAAGAACAAGTGAACAATCATTGCCAAGGGGGAAAGTGTGAGCAGGAGCCAGGAGGCCTGGTCCCAGTCTCAGGCCCATTGCTGCCTCGCCCCTTCATGTCTCCAGGGGTAGTGTAGGTACAGTGTGCCTCTCCATAGGGCTGGGTGAGTGACAGGAGGGATAAGGAGCCCAGGTGAGCCCAGCCCAGTCTCCTGTACCTGCCCAGTCCATGGCGGGGTTGCCAACGGGGCACCCCTGGGATGGAGTTTAGTAGCAGGCTGTGGGATGAAGGAATGGCCTCAGGAGCCAGAAGAGAAGAAGGGAGCCCAGGTTGATCTCAGAGGGAGGTCAGGACCTCCTCCAGGCCTTTTGTGGTGCCCTGAGTTGGGCTGAAACAGTGGGCCTTTACACTCTTGCGGACCAATGGCCTCCTGGAAAGGGGTGACTTTGGTCAAGGCAGCTATCTGCAACCCAGAGATCCCTTAGGGGGCTGAGTACAAGGCCATCTGCCAACAGGCAGGGCAATACATTTTCCTTTCAAGGAAGAACTGGGTGGTTCATCAGTGTCTAGCACAATGGGCTGTCAGTCCTGTGAGGACAGCCTGGGTGCTGAAGGCTTGGTAGCCAGCACACTTCTAGGCACACACTCAGCACCCAAGAGATGTTTGCTGAAAACACCATCCATCTGAAGCTGTTGGCTAAACACAGGGCTACCTCCTCCGTGATACCCCCCCCGCCCCGCCCCGGCTCAGCTGGACAAGCTTCCTCCTTGCTCTGCACAGCTCTACCCTTAGCTCTGTCATTGGTGTTGCCTTGCTTGTTCTGGAGCACAGTGGGAACCTGGTGCTTCGGCTTTCTGACCATGGACTCAATTGGGATTGGGACTCAGCTGCTGCTTTCCTTCCTAGGGCCTTTGCCATTAGGCAAATGAACAAATGACCAGACAAGGAAGAGGTGACGGGAAAGGGGCCTGCCTGCTTTTAGGGGGTGACAGGGATGCAGCACTATGCAGGTGAGAGAACATGGGCATTGGGGTCACGTAGCTCTGTCTTACCCTTGCCCTTGACTTGGGTGGAGCATTTTTACCCCTCTGATGCAGTTTCCTTAATGGGCAGCTAGGAAGTGGGCCTAGCTGGTGTAGCCCCAGGCTCTCTCCTGCCCCCCTGCAACTCCCTGCCTCCACTCACCACTTGCTGGGAGGGGAGGCAGCTTGGTGTTCCGGGTGTGTGGGGCCGGGCCAGCCCAGGAGCAGGAATCCTTGAGTGACTTAAGCTTTTCCCGCTTCAGCTGCTCAAACCGGTGCATGGAGCTCACGTGTTTTCGCAGCTGCAGGCCACCAGCGGAGGGGGCAGCCAGGGCTGGGGCGTCGGCCCCCGGAGTTGTGTCATCCAGTGCTGTCAGGTCTCCCAGGCTCCCGGGCCCCGTCCCCGGCATCTCCACGCCGCTGTCATTGTTGGGGGCGCTGCCCAGGGGAGAGGGCTCGCTGCTGCAGGATGATTGGGCCCCAGGGCTGGACTGACACAGCTGCAGGAACAGGTGGAAGGTAGAAGCCCAGGGATGTGAGCACGCACCTAGCCCTGTGCCAGCCTGCACGTACACTATACTCTCGCACACTCAGGAAGGGGGTCTGGGGGAGGAAAGATGCTGCCCCTAAGAGGAGCGTGCAAACCATCACTTGCCTTTCTGCATGCGATGGTCAAGTCTCTTCCCTATTCTCAATCTTCACCTTCCCGACCATGAGATAGACCTGGACTACTTACCATGCACCTGGTGTACAGAAGGTATCCAGTATGGTGTGACAGAAGGCAGTGAAGCCTTTCCAGCCCCAGCAAGGTGTGCACAATGAAGTGAGGAGCAATGAAAGCCAGTGACTTGGTGCCTTCTGCCAGGTGGGACTCTCTCAACAGGCCAGACATAGGTGGTTAGAAAAGGTGACTAGGGATGGGGAGCTGTGGGATGCAGCCCTTGCCTGAATGGTCACCTCAAACCAGCCCTCCCTGTAGGGTGGGGTGGAGTGGGGCATGGTGCATGTGTATTGTCTGGAAGCCACCGAACTCAGGCTACAAATACTGCGCCAAGGCAGCTGGGTGCAGAGGAGGCTCGCAACACCCGTGGGCTCATTTCTGGGCCACATGCCTCCCAATCTAAGTCCTCTCTTTGAGAAGCTGCAATGCTCTCTCCTGCCCGGGGCACAAACTCCAGGTGAGCAGGAACCTTTGAAGTCTTGTCTTCAGTACCTCTGCTTGGTCTTCAAGACCAAGGTCCCCAGTACCTCTGCAGGTCAGCCGACTCCACCTCTCCTCCTCGCTGGCCCTCCTGTAGCTTAGTCCCACAGCTCCCCACACCTGCCAGCCCCCTCCTGCCATCCACTTTTGCTTACTCTGAAGCCTTGCTTACCCTGCCGTCTGCCTCTCCAAACCCGTGGTCCTCAGCCCAGGAGCCCTAGACTGACAGGTCACTCTCACCTGGGCAGTGACAGGGACATCCCAGCCCACCCTCCCTCAGTCCAGCCCGCCCCACCCCTCAGCCAGTTCCTCTGCTCACCTCAGTACCGTCTATCCTTAGGGGAGGTACAGTTGGGAAAAAAGATGTGGAGACAAAGAACAAGTGGTTAGAACAAAAAGAGCAGAGACCAGAGGGGGAGGACACAGAATAGGACAGAGGCCTGGCAGTGGTATTTGGGTGCTGCTTAGAGAGGTGGACACCAGGGACCACTCCCACCCCACACAGTCCAACACGGGGTCAGGCTGCCACAGCTGCCCAGCAGGAGCCTGCGCATGACTGATGCCATGTGAGACCCAAAGAGGTAAAGGGAGAAAAGCTGAGTTGGAAACGGGAGGGACACCAGCTTGCCTTAGGAGGGGGTACCCTACTATAGAGACCACTGCTGGGGCTGAGGTTCCGAGGCCTTTGGCAGTGCACTCTGCCAGCTGGGCCGCCCAGCTCTGCTTACCCCGGAGCCCTCAGTCTTGATGGCTTTGATGTGCAGGCAGTCCTCCACGGCCTGGTTGGTGCTGCTGGCCTCAGCGCTGTCCTCAGATCCCTGGCCGAGAGGCTCAATGCTGGCCTCACTGTCTCCATTCTCCTTGAGCAGCGGGGCTCGGAGGTGTACATCATTGCGCTGCTTCTTGGTGACATGCGCATCTGGGCCATGGACCGTTTTCACATGCTTCCGGAGTGAGCTGGGGTCTGTATACCGCTTTGTGCAACCTGGGATCTTGCAGATGTAAGGTTTCTGGGAAGAGAATCACAACTGTGTTATGGATGGAGCAAGAAAACAAACTCCACGTGGGTGAACACTCAGTCCTGAAGCCATGATGTGTCCCTTGGGGGACCTGGCTGGCAGTTGGCAGGATGTATTTGCAACCAGTGCCCTTGGGATGGAGCCACGCCCTGTCCTGGTCCTGTGTGCCACCTTCACACACAGCGCATGAAGTGCTCGGTCTGGGGAGCTTTTGTATAAGAAGCTGGAAAGACAATGGGAGGGACACACATGCCTCTGCTGTAAACTGGACTCTTGAATTGCTAGTAGCAGTAGAAGTGCGTGAGCTGATCACACCTGTGAGACAGCACCAGCACCCTGACTTCTCTTATGAGAAAAGATAGGCTTGAGGGCAAAGAAACTCCCTCAAAGTCACCTGGAAATGGGGTGAAAACCCAGCTCTGCAGAACCTCAGTCCTGGGTTCATTCATCACTGTCACATTCATACCCACACACCCACTCACATGCAGCTACATATACCAAACCCTCACACATGCACCTACAAATATATACTTACAACACACATGTACATATGTACACCCATCAGTCTACCCATATCTACACGTGTACATGTATATGCTTACAAACACACACACATATCCCTCCACCACATCTGCACACATGTGTACATCACCCTCTACACCTGCATGCGCACACACACACACACATATACCAGGCACACATGTAGATATATGCATACATCGCCCCTCTACACCTGTGCACACACACATACATACAATACACTTACACACACATACACACATATACCACCTCCACATTCACACACACATATACTAATACACACACACCATCCCTTCACACCTGTACACACACATATACATACACTTACACATACATACCATAGGAATCTACTAGTACACGTGCATATATCACCTCTCCACACCTGTGCACGCACATACATACACTCACACACACACGCATATACCACACACCACATATATCTACACACACACACACATTCAATCATCTCTAAGGCAGCTCTTATCTGTAGAGATTCTAATGGTTAATGGTTCAGTGGCCTTTGGGAATTCCTCTAATTTCCCACAAACATTGGAGCCAGTTTCTTCTGGGGGCCATACTGCATGTAAGCTGCTAGAAAGGCTCTCTCTGGAGTCTGCCTGAACCATAGTGGTTGTGTGGCTGGGCTGGGAGAGTGCAGCAGAGAGTGTGGCCTCCTGCCAGTTTCCTTCACTGGGTTCTCAGCCTCAGAGGCTCAGGCTACCTGAGCAGCCAGCTCACTATTGCTCCACCCAGGTAATGAGGCAGCTGCTCCACAGGCCTGTGAAGCCTGTGCTAGGATGTTTCCACAGCTGCAGAGGATGCAGTGGCTCTACCCACACATTTAGGGGGAATGGGAAGAGTCACTATCTGAAGGATGGAGCGGCAGAACCTACCTAACGGCCTGAGGAATGAGAAGTAGATACATGAGTGGAGACACATCATGCTCTGGGAGATCTGGGAGGCCACTCTGCCTGGACCTTGGCTCCCGTGGACCTCTTGGCGCAGTGAGGAGGAAATTGGCACAGAGAGGGTAAGTGTGCCATGGCATCTTATGGGACATCTTCCCTGTCAGAGAAGAGGATATAGCACAGAGTGCTGGTCTGTGTTCCAGAATGTGCAGCGGGTGAGTGGTAGGGGCACCCAGGTACCTGGCTTCCTCCTGGTCTACAAGTGTCTATAAGCCATGCCCAGTGATCCACGCATATGCACGGGAACCCAGTGGACACAGGCTATGGTGGGTACCTCATTAGAGTGGGTCCGATTCTGGTGCTTGGCACGGTCAGAGGCATTGGAGAAGGCCTTGTTGCAGCCCTCATGTTCACACACGTAAGGCTTCTCCCCGGTATGGGACCTCAGGTGCGTCTTCAGGTTCTCCAGTCGGGAGTAGGCCTTCGAGCAGCCCTCGAACTAGAAGAAGGTAGATGGGTCGGTCGGGGCACACCAGATCCAATGCAGGCAAGCTGACACTGGGTGCCAGCTCACCTCCTCCTCATGCTCCCCTCTGGGCTCCACCCCATTCATTGTTGCTTCTAGAACCGTGAAGCTTAGCTGTAACAATTGCTTTCCTTTCCAGGGAACTTGGAAAGGGTGAGAAGTGCACAAACGAACTCAGAATGCATCAGAGACCTCAATGGAAGAGCTATGAACTGTAAGTGTATATATTCATATTTATATAAATAAAGTTACATGTTTATAAGCTATAAAACTCTTATAAGAAAGCAAAGTGGTAAATCTTTGTGACCTTGGATTAGGATATGGCTTCTTAGCTACAAGAAAAAAAGCACAAGCAATAAAACATTGGATTTTGCCAAATTTCAATTTCTGTGCTTCAAAGGAAATTATCAAGGAAATGAAGACAACCTATAAAATGGGAGAAATGTTTGCAAATCACATATCTGATAACAATGCAACACTTAGATACATAAAGATTCTTACAACTTAACAAAAACAAAAAAGTAAGGTTGGTAAAAAACGGGCAAAAGCTTTTTGAATAGACAGTTCTCCAGAGAGGATAAACAAAAGGCCCTTAAGCACTTGCAATATCATTAGCTATTAGGGAAATGCTAATCAGAACCACAGTGAGACACCCCTTCATACTCACTAGGATGGCTACAATAAAAATGATAGGTGGCCAAGTGTTAGTGAGAATGTGGAGAACAGAACCCTTACACATTGCTGATGAGAATACAATGATTCAGCCTTTCTGGAAAAACAGTCTGACAAGTACTCAATTACTGTATAAACAGGCAATTCTATTCCTAGGTGTACCTACCTAAGAGCATTGAGAACTTGTGTCCACACAAAAACATGCACACGAATGCTCACAACAGCGTTATTTATAATAGCTCCAAAGTGGAAACAATGCAGAGTACCCACTGACAAATGGATAAGGAAACATATCTAAACACCTCATGGAATATTACACACCAAAAATAACTCATCTACTGTTTTGTGCTGCAATATGGATGAACCCTGAAAAAATGTGAAGCAAAAGAAGCCAGACACAAATACTACTTATTGCAGATTCCATTTTTATGAAATGTTCAGAATAGGCTAATCGTTGAAAGAATGCAGATCACAAGTTTTCCCGGGCTGGAAGAAGGAGAGAATGGGGAATGACTGCTGATGTATACAGGGTTTCTTTTCAAGGTTATGGAAAAAGTTTTTAGATGTGGCTAGTTGCCATGGTTGCATGACAGTCAGCATACCAAGACTACACAGTTACACATTTTTTAAAGGGTGAATTTTATGTTGTGAATTTTATCTCAATAAAACCAACTTGTCAACAAAGGTAGTACATTTCATGGAATCTTGGATGCCATCGATTTCAAGACAACCTGATTTCAGAGATATTACAGTAAGAATGAAATACACTTCTCACAATCTATGAAATCAAATCAGCAAGAGGAGTGCTCAGAGGTTTCAGTTGCAGCCACATCAGCGGAGCAGGGCCACCTCTGCTTTTGAAGAAGGAGTAATTTCTGTTTGCTACAAAGTGCCTCACTGATTAAAGTCACAGATCCTGTGGCTTCCATAAGAGACACTGTATAAAAAGTCTTATCTTTGCATTCCCCTTTGTAGTTTTCCTCAAGAAAAACAGAAGCAAAGTGATTGCTTTAGCTATGAGTCACCCCGCAGGTGCTTTGGGACTGGGTCCCTCTGCCCAGACACAACTCTCCTGGCCTAGCGACACCGGTTTGGAGGACGCTGGGCAGGGGCACTCACCGTGCACTTGTGCGGCTTCTCACCGGTGTGCCGCCGCATGTGGACTACCAGCATGTACTGTGCTTTGAAGGGCTTCTGCTCGCGTGTGCAGGCCTGCCAGCGGCACACAAACTCCTTCTTCTCCCCATGGATGTGCTCGTTGTTAATGTGCTGCCGAGGGACAAGCCGAGAATGTGAGTCTAGATGCCCCTCCTGCACTGCCCTGCTTGCTGTACAGAACACTCACTCCAGGGAACACCACCTATCCTGAGCTGAGCACCTACCTGGCCCCAAGATCCCTTCCCTGTTACCTGTGACCACTCACCCCACTGGGCTTCAGCCTTGTGCAAGCGGGCTGCTGCTCATGGTCCTCCACAGTCCACTCCTCCCCCGGCCCCAGCACAATGTGCAGAGCATTCTCCTCACTGCCCACACCCATACGTGCAGAACACTGACCCAACCTTTTCTATCTAGCCTTCAGGTTGGTTGTATAAGGTGTCTGCAAAATATGAGTTAATTTTGTGTTTAGACTTAAGCCCCACCTCCAAGATACCTCATTATATATATATCTGAAAATCCAAAAAACCTCTAAAATCTGAAACACTTCAGGTCCCAAGATTTTGGGTAACCTATAGTCACCTTGTATTAAAATTAACTTCACCTGTTTCTTTTTACCTTTTTAAAAATGTGCTTCTAGGAAATGTAAAATGGCATGTTTGGCTGTCACTAGTGGCTTAAAGTCTCTCCTTTCTGGATGGTGCTGCTGTGGACCTTTGCAAACTACAAAGCCCTCTGAGAACTGGGGGTCAGACACTGGTGGCACCTGGCCCCAGAAGACAAAAGCCACTCAGCCCTCAAGCCTTGTGCAACAGCCCAGCTGCCATGCATACCAGTGCCCACTGTTGCAGCAAGCAAAATGCACAGTGTTCTGAACTTCCAGAGAGACCTCAGATTAGCCTCACCTTCCATTTATAAAGCCTTCAAGTGATAAAAATGTTCCCTGACAATGCCTTTCATTTTCCCCTTATTGGTTTACTCAGCAACAAATGGTTAATGATCAGCAGGGCTTCCGGTCTCCTGTGTGCCTGCATCGTCTATCTTTCCAGGGAGTTCAGGGAGGCAGAGCAGGGCTCCTCAACTGAGCAGCCTGTTGTTTCTGGCCAGCTGGAGGGAACCATCTACAGCCACAGGGACAGTCCTGGACCAAAGGGAGAGGTCTGTGTCCTCCTCCTAGGTCAGGATCCCACTGGCCTGGTTGAGGAATTCCCTGCCTGAGTTCTGCAGCCGGCATCTGGAGTACAGAACACATCTTTTGCATCCTCACCTCTGCATTTTTGCTTAAGTCCAGTCTCAGATGGAAATGTTGTCCTTTCCTCCTTTAATCTGATCTGATCTTTGCTGAGACCCCATAGCGCCGATCACCCCTTCTCTGTCATTTACCCCAAAGAGCTGGAACAGGTTGAAATTTATCTTTGAGTGCCAGGAGGAATTAGAGAGGTCCTGTCTCACGGTTTCGCATCAGCTGCAAAGAGTTTGCTGGGAAATTCTGGTGTCCTGGGTGAAAATTTGGGGAGGAAGAAGCCAAACACAAAAGAAACCCGCAGTATTTGAGAGCAATTGGCAGGAGTAGAGAAAGCAGAAGGAAGTGGTGTGCTCCAAATGTCAAGTTCATAGAGCTAGGGACAAATAAACTCCTTTAGGATGGCTTCTGAGTATGAATAGGAGGGTGTGAGTGTGTGCATGTGAGGGTGAGTGTGGATGCATGAATGTGTGCGCATGTATGTTGGGAGCAGTTTGTTCTTAAATAAATTGAAATTCTTTTTGGCATGGAAAAGAGATTTACCCAGGGCTGATGTGGGGAAGAAGGGAGCTACTGAGTACAGAACACCTACTACCTGCTTCATCCTTCCCTGCTCGGAATCACTCAGACAGCTGAGGCGGAGCCAGGTGATTCACAAAAGCCTCTCCTCCCCCTGCACAAGCTACCTGGCCCCTTTGACTGCCACCATAGTGGATGTGGCGAGATAAGTTTGGAGTGGAGACCAAGAGGCAATTCCTGAAAGGCACAAGCTCCCGAAGTCTCCTCTGATGGCCTAGACAGAGAGAACCCAGTAGTTCTAAGCAGCTCCATCCCTGATCTGGGTATAGAAACCTGTCCGTACTCATATTCGGTGTGTATACGTGAATGGGCTCCAAAGGGGGAACTATCACCGTCCTCCATGGGAAAAACACCTTACAGGTTTCAGAGTCAGGTCTGTAATCATACAGAAGCTGTCTGGTTTAACAAATCTCATTTCCCTGTATGTGCTGGCTACCAAGAAGCTCAGGGAAAAAGAGATGTGCATGTGGACTGTAGCTCAAAGAAGTTGGTTTTTAACACTAACTCTCCTCCTGGCTTCACTTCATTGTTTCTTTTCCCTGATTTTCTCATTTACTTATTTTCCTTTGTACTACATAAACATTTGGAAGTCTCTGCATAGAAACAGGTAACATATACAGGGTATAATTGAAAAGTACCGTGCATGTTTAAATTTTTAAAATTATTACATAGACACATTGCCATTAATCCCCCTCAGAATATGGTGCCTCATTTTGAACATACTTATCCCATCATTCTTGACACTTTCTGAAACAGTTCTGGAGAGTCCTCCTCTGGGAGTGTCTTTAAGTGCACTGTGGTGCCTTAATGTCCTGAATAAATTCAAAACATTTACCCTTCATGATCATTTTGACTTTGGGAGAAAGTAGATGCCACGTGGTGCCAGGTCTGGTGAATAAGCTGGATGAGGACACACTGTAATGTTTCTATGAGCCTGCCTTTTCATCACATAGCACTTGGCATCAGCATTCACTGTATTTTTTATCATAACTTGTAGAGACACTTATGAAAGAGGACTTCCAGAATTGCTTCAGAAAATGGCAAAAAGGACGGAATAAGTTTATCCAAAGTGAAGCAGAGTGTTTTGAGAGGAATTAATGGCAATGTGCCTTTTACTGTAATAATTTTTTTAAAACACTTAAATTCCCACCATTGTTTTTGATCAGCCCTTGTGAGTAATCATATCTCCTGCTTGCAGAAGATGTGGTCTAGGCTTCTCCTGGGGCCAGCTCTTCTAGGCCCTTCTTTCTGGTCAAGGCCCTGGAAGGCTCAAGTCCCTGTGTGGCCAGGGTTCTGCACCCCGGGGCAGGATTCTGGAATGGAGGCTTACGTGCACCAGTTGCTCTTGGGTGTCATACTCCTTGGTGCAGTCTTCCCAGTGGCAATTTGTCTCGTAGATGACCACCTCGGCCTCCTGCTTACAGTCATCCTTGTCCAGGTCTTCCTTGAGGTCAGCCAGCTGCTCCTGGGGGAGAAAGCCATACTCATATAAACCATGTTCAGGACCTAGCCCTGATGACAAGTCACTGTTAGCCCCGTGAAGTCTGTGCCAGGACTTGGGACCAGGCCATGTGTGGCCACTCATGAATGCACAGGTACACACGCAATATACACGTGTGCATACAGATAATCATCCGCTTTTCCAGCCCCTGTGCTCAGCTCAGCCACATCCATAGCTCTTCCCGCCAGGCAGCAGGCCCATCCCTCTCTAATGTTGGCTTGTAAGGGAACTGTCCTATCCCAGTCTCCTGACATTCAGGGACAGGAGGAAAAAGGGCAGCAACTTGTAACTGGGTTTGGTTTCCACTGTCGGGGAGTGGGGGTCCCTGAAGGCATTGGGAGTGGGAATATGTTTGTTTCTAAGATCCGCTCCTTGCTGAGAGCAAGATAAAACATGTTCTCGCCCTTCGGAATGGTTACTTTCAGACTGTCCATGCCTTCTTGAGGAAGCAGCCAGATTCACATAAATGGCTATGCTGAGATCTGCACAAACTCTGCAGAGTGAATGTGCTCCAGCATTTCCTTCTGGCACTAGTCATCCTGCAGCAGCTTTAAAATATGGGCATCTGCATTCCTGTATGACAGCTAGGGAAACTGAGGCTCGGGGAGAGGTCGACTCACCCTTCCCAGAACACATAGCCAATCTTTGGCAGCCTAGATCTGGTCTTGAATCTCCTGACCACAGTGGGGGCCACATGGACATTTCAAGGAGATGAAGGAAAAGCCCCAGATCTCAGGGCTGTCCCAGCTCAGGTGGTGCTCATCTGGAGCTGGCCACGGGCAGCCTCTGAGCATAGGAACAGGGGAAAGGCCAGAAGTAGGAAAGGGACAGGGACAAATACCCGGGGAAAAGGAAAAGGCCATGAGGGGCTCACAAAAGGCCATGAGGGGCTCCCTAATAGTCCTCTTGTCTGCTGGGCAGACCTGGAGCAGAGCCAGGCAGAAGCAAGGCTACGAAGACTTAGTTTACAGCTCAAATCATTTTCAAAAATAACAGGGAAATGTGCTGTCTTTTCAAATTGCCTCTGGGGAAGACGTTACAGTGCAGGCTTGGAGGGGTAACCTCTCCCTGCAACACCCTTGGTCTGGAGACTTAGCCACGCTGAGTCCCTTTCTAGGAGGGCAGAAACCAGCATCAGGACACTCCGGTGTGGCCCACAGACTCATATCTGTGACTGATTTTCCACCAGAGCACAAAGAGCTCTTCCAAGAGGGCTCCTGTTCGTTCTCTGGGTGCTACCTTTCAACTAAGCACTTTCTCTGAGAAGGAAAACGAAGATGGGTTGTATAGTAACTTATTTCCTGGGCTGAACTGGGACCCTGCAGACAGGGACATGTGGGGACATCTGGTTTTCGGAGCTTCAGCAGCGGGACCATCTAGGGGTGCTGCTGAAGTGCAACCATGGGACAAGGGGATGAAAGGGTCTCCTAATGCCCACTCTGCACTTGAAGAAAAACTGGAAATAGATTTATGATTTCCATATGCTGCAGGCTCTGTTTGTTTCAGACAAGAGCTGCAGAAGCTGATGGATTGATGTGCTGGTCAAGAGGAGCTCTGCAGGCTGAACAGGGCATCTTCCTGGCCTGTAATCATGAGGGCTTCAACAGAAAGGGCACTAATGAAAGCCAGCCCGTGCACATGGTGGTGAACAGGACACAGAGTGACAGGGAGACCACCTCCTCATGATAAAAGGCTTTCTGCACCTGTCAGGAAGGAGGCCTCTGTGTGTCCACCTGGGCTGAAGGGTGGTCACGGGACCCCACTGGTGGGTGGGGCGTGGGCCTCCCAGTGTTCAGCATCTGCCTCTTGCCCTGTCCTTGCCATTCCAGCTTGTTTATCTTCCCTGGATATGTGCTGTCCTCATCAATTCCAACAGCCCCCGATGATAGCCAGCCTCATGGAAACCATGCATCATGCTGAGACTGGGTTTGGTGTCAGCAAGGAGAGAAGAATTTGTCACCAACCCCTCTGTTTGTCTGACAATAACAGGACCTAATATTTCATGAAAATTAAGTGCTCAGAGCATTCCCGATGGTTTACAGTCTTGATAAAGGATAGCACGGCAGATGCGGAGAGACAGGAACAGGAGGCCCTGCACATCCTTGGTGGCCATGCTGGGGATTCTGTGGTAGCAAACGAAGACTGGGCCACCATGTGACAGCTGAGGGGAGGGTCAGGAGACTTACCTGGAAGGGCAGGAGGCACACTGTGCCCTTCACCCCATGGGCCCCTGCTCTAGAGCAGAACCTGGCTGTCTGCCTGCTAGGAGCATTAGAAGTGGCAGGGTTTCCAAAGGGATGGCACAAGTCTCTGGGGGCTGTTGGTTGCTGTTCCTCACTGTCCCTACCAGGAATCATCCTCCCCTCCAGCTCCGAAATGACCCGGGAGCTAGGCTGAGGATGAGGGTGGATACAAGTCCTGTTACCTAGGAGGGATAGTGACAGTGAAGATGAAATTCTAGGGAGAGGCAGCCTCAAGGGGTCTGAGCCATTCAGAGGACACGAGCAACTCACTTTCCTGAGGTTTATGTCGCTCATGGCTGAGGTGTGGGGGAGAGTTAGCTGCAGCCCGAGATAGGGCAGGATAGGTGGAAGTTTTTGTTTTCATTCATTTCTGCATTCATTCAAGATATGCTTAATGAGCATGTAGTATGTGCAGGGTGCTGGGGACTCAGCAATAAGATGTGTGAACCCACCCTACCCTCTCTAATTCATCCATCTATCCATCCACCCCTCCATCCACCATCCACACATCCATCCATCTATCCATCCATCCATCTACCCATCCATCTACCACCACCCACCCACCCTTCCACCCACCCATCCACCCATCCATCCATTTTCACCACCAAGTGAAATGCCCAAAGGCAGCAACCCGGGACCCTGGCCTGGACCCAGCCCAAGGACAGTGAGGGCGGCCAGCAGGTTACCTGCGTCAGTCCCAGGGGGGAGGCTGGCCGCAGGCCCTCGGCCTCAGTCTTGACCTTGCTTCGCTTGTGAATGGTGATGGGATTAACAGTGCTGCTCACAGCTGATTCACTGCTCTGCTTGTTCTGGGAGAGGTTGCAGAGGAGAGCTTGTTACATAGGGGCAGGGCAGGGACACCCCAAATTCAGTGTGGGGTCTACCTCTGGAACCTCACCACACTGACTGTATGGGCCAACCCTATGTGTGATGTCTCAGAAATGGAGTCTCCTAGCCCTGTTTTCCAGTCAGTGGCACACTCAGGGGTACCTAGATCACAGCTGCCAGCACCTCCCGCTACGCAGCTACCACCCCCACTTCCCCAAGCAGTGAGAGAAAATGGAAGAGAGAGTTCCTCTTTGAAAAGCGCTGGACCCCTTTGCTCCTGTCCTGAGGAGGCTCAACTTCTCAGGTCTCCAGAGCAGGGGTGGCCAGCTCTGGGAGCAGGGGATAAGGGCCTAGTTCCTCAGGGGAAGGCCTGGGGCTGCAGTTTCAGGTGACACCTCAAAGGCTGGTAGTGACTGTCTGCAGTAGGTGCTAGGAGCCACTTGGAGTTCTGGGATAGCAGGACTTTCTGTAGGTGTCTTCCCCTCTGTGAGATATGGTCACATCCAGGTCTGTCAATTGCCCAAGGGTGGTCGGGGTAGGTGCTTCCCCTCTGATTATCATCATGAGTGCTCCCCAGGATCTGGGGTTCAGGAGGGGCTGTGTACACACAAGAGCTAGTTTATAAGTACAATGACCCAGCCTAGGTGGCAGGTTCCCCTTCCCAGGTGATTTAGCTCAGGCTGAGAGAGGTAAAGACAATTTTCTGTTTTCAGGCAAGTTAGGAACCAGGTGCAATTTGACCGATTCCAAAGTCTGTACCTGTCCTTTATACAAACTTGTCCCTATAAATCCAGGTCTTTGTCTGTAACACAGGGCCTCATTTATTGCCAGATACTGGTGGCATCCAGTGCATGCCAGGCACCACTGTGCTAGAAGGCCCCGCATGCCAAAGGCCTGTGGGAAGGACTGAATAGAAGGTGTATGAAAACCTGTAGGAAATATGTGTTCTAGAACATAACTGCATATTATTGTTATTATTACTGTTCCTTCATCCATTTATGTCCTATGTTGTGCATGGAGTCCTAGGTTTCTTCACCTGCTTATTATGTTTATTGGACAGGAGGAGGCTGAACTGTGAGCTCAGGGCCCGTGTCGCAGCCTGAAGCCCTTTCTAACATGTAGCCTCTGCCCAGAAGACACCCCCCAGCCAGTCTGGGGCCCAGAGTTCTCCACCAGTTCCTGGCTTGGGATGGCAGGAACAGCCCTCATGGGGGCAGGGTGAGCTCCCAGCTCCTGCTCCCGGTGCCCACCTACCTGGTTGGCATTGGTCAGACAGTTGCTGCTGCCGCTGCTGCTGAGCTGGGTGGGTGCGGCACTGATGGAGGCGAGGGCCATAGGCTGCTGGGCCAGGAAGGTGGGTGAGGGCTGAATTAGGGGTGGTGTGTGTCCAAAGGCTGAGCCCAGGCCCCGCTGCTGGCTCAGGATTTGCTGGTAGGCCACGGGGTTGATGGGATGGGGGAAGGTGAAGGCTGGGCTGCAACAGAAAAGGAGATGGGAAGAGGCGATGGCCAGTTAGGCAGATACTTCCTGAGCAGAGAGGACCCTGCCCAGAAGAGTGAGATGGCCTTGGCAATGGCCGTGCTAAATGTACCACTACTAGGGCTTTCCCTCCTTCTAGTGCAAGTAGTGGCTGCCCACTGCCTGTACTCAGGCCTCACGTTCTATGCTTAACTCTAGAGCAGTGATGGTGAAAGCTTCAGAGACCTAGGGCCAAACTGCAACCCAAAACCCACTTATTTATCACTAAGTGCCCAAACTACAATTAAATCTGAATACTAAGGTTTTAATTTAGAAAAACAACTCTACATTAACATCTTTTGTCTTAAAATAAAAACACGATAACATGAGTACCATAGGTTGGCCACCACTGTCCTAGACTCTACTCCAGGGTACGGGCTGCAGGCTCAGCAGGCACCAGGCTCCATCGCCACTTCACACCCCGGCTTCCCCAATGCTCTGGCACCTGAGATGCAAACCTGCACCACTACTTTCTTATTTGGACCCCACTGGGCCTGCAGAGCCTGTTCTCATGGCCCCTCATCCACACTCCAGCAGGCAAGGCTCACCTGAGGGCACCCGCTGACAGGTGTCCATAGGAGCCACTGGCTGCTGAGCTGCTTCGAGAGTTGTTGATGTAGGCTACCAGAGAGTTGGGCGAGGTCCGGATCATCCGCTGCAGGTCAAGGCTGGCATCTGAGAGTGGAGAGATGGATAGCGCCCGCTTGCGGCTCAGGCGGGGTGTCACCCGGGGGCTGGAGAACCGGGACACTGTGCAACAGCCAACAAAAGGTGCGTCAGCATCACCTGTGTTGGGGGAAGGGACAATGGAGTTGGGAGAGGAAATGGGGATGGGTAGGTGGGAACAGGAAGAGCCTACGAGGACAGTCTGATGGGAATAACAGCTGTAGGGCAGTTGGGCAAGGGATGAACTCTGTCCCAGACTCAGTTTATTCAACTGTAAAATGAGGGTGATCAGCACAGGGCATGGTGAAGATCTGAGAAGGACAAAGCGAATTCACCGGGGAAGCCAGCTTCAGGTCAAGAAACAGAGTGTCCTCAAACCCTCTTCTCCCTTCCAGACCTGCCCCAAGGGAAGGCCCCTCTCATGGCTGTGTGTTAGAGGCGTGGGCCCTAGCTGAGCACTCTCAGAGGCAGTGGAGTCTTTCGGAAGTGGTGCCCAGCGGGAGTAAGTTAGGTATTGGGGGCGTGGCCTAAAAAAGGACATGAGGTGCATGGTTCTGCTTCACCACAGGCTCCTACCAGGGTAGGTTGCCTCACCACAGGCCCCAAATCAAAAGGTCAGTTGGTCATGGACTGGGACCTCCAAAATGGAACCAACATAAACCTTTCCTCTTAGAAGGTGATTTTCTCAGTATTTGTTACGGTGACAGAAAAGTAACACAGCCATTATCCCGGCTTTTCCCACCCTGCTTAATGTCGTCTATTTTTAAGTTTATGTAAATGAAATACAGTTCTTCTTTCATGTCTGGATTCCTTCCCATTGTGTGTGGCAGTAACTTGCTTGTCCTCACTGCTGCAGAGAATTCCACAGGGAGAAGAGAGTGTTAGGTGTTAGGTGTTCCAAAGTCACGGATCATGTTGCAACTGGGATCGCAACAACGTCTCCTCCAACACCCTGGCAGGGCATTTGCCAGGCAGAGACCGGGCTGCCCTCACACTCAGCACCATGCCTGGCGGGCTGGGAAAGCTGCTGTGACAAGGCAGGGAGGACAGGAGGGACAGCAGGAGGGGCAGCTGACACCATGTAGCTACGATTAAACACTGAAGCCCTCAGTTCTGAGGTTACCCAGGGCTTGGGGACCCTGCTGCTTTAGAATGCAGACCATAGTCCTATGCACAGAAACTCACGGTGTGCAGGTACACACACCAGCCACGTGTGCACACCCCCCCACAGACACATGTATATGTACACACAAAGGTACCTGCCCTAGCTGGCTGACCTTTGGACATGCTCTTATCTTCACTGGCTGCTGTCGCCCACACAGCTTCAGAAGGGAAGAGGGCCTGGCCCAGACCAGGGCTTCCTGCACCCCAGGGAACAGGCTCTCCCACTATGGCTCCAGTTTGTTTCTGCTTCCTTACAGCCCTGCCCGCTTCATCAGGATTCTGGATAGCTTGCTGAACACAATGGCTAGAAACTGTCTGCTAATATCGCTGGTCGACCCTACCCACAAAATTTCTGCCCTGTCTGCACCTCTGGACCTTCCTGAGCCCATTTCCTCTTTCTCAAGGGGTCTAATCACCGTGCAGACCTCCAGGGCCGATGTGAATTAGGAGGCACAGATCTGGCCCATAGCTGGGCACATGAGGCTGGATGCATCCTCACCTTGTGAACGCCTGTGTGAAGCATCAACTCCTGTGCCCCACTGGGCCCTGTCCGTCAGCCTCCCTTCACTGAAGGGCCTGCCTTCCTCCAGTGGCCTCCAGGTTCCCACAGGATGGGGGCACTGCCTGAAAACAATTCTGGTAGCTGCTCAAACATAGAGTCTCTGCTGCTCATCCTGCCTTCCTCCTGCCTGCCTGGTCAGACCTGCAGGGAGAGGGCCAGCTGCTCTGGCCACAGGGCCTGCCTCCCTCGGCCTCCTACTCATGGTCCTCATGGCTGTTTCTTCCTGGGGTGCTTCTGACCAACCCTGACCTGCTGGCCTCGGGATTATGTTTAATTGTGCACATGTTGGTGTCATGTCCCCAGCGTTGCAGAGCACCAAGGGCAGGGTGGGTGGCCTGTGAACCTCAGAGGCCCCAACCCACACCGATGTCCTCTAGAAGGCTATGTGAGCCTTAAAAAGTTGAAGCCTTGGGATCCCTGCTGGGCCCTGGGAGCAATCAGCTCCCACCCGCTCCATGCTGGGCCCAGCCTGGCCACTCTGGGGGGTGAGGTCCTGGGAAGTCCCTCTACTGCTGGGCCACAGAGAGAAACAGAGAAGGGCCTGGAATCCATGGGCCAGAAAGGGCTTCCAGGGTTGTCTCTCCTAACTTCCTCCTTCAGGGACATGGGGAGTCTGAGGCCACAGAGGGGAGCAGACAGCAGCAAGGGGTAAAGGGGATTCAGGTACTGGGATGCAGACCTGGGTTGGATGAGAGGCCAGTGGGGGGTGAGGTGGGGGTGGGGTATAGCCAGGGCACTTTGGCTGGATCCACAAGTCAGCTGTCAAAGACATAGAAACTTTGCTAATGACCTAAGCATAAAACTGGGTCAATGGCCAGCCCTGGGATGGTAACCCAATGGGGAGATAGATGTGGGAGTGGCCAGTGCATTCCAGAATAGCATAGTTGTAACTGTCCAAGTGCCACACCCTCTACTTTGTACATGTACTTTTCAACCAGAAGCATGAAATGATTTGGGGAATGCTTCCCTTGGATGAAAAAGTTGAGCTAATCAGAATGCACTTTTCTCTACATATCCTTGTCAGCTACACTGTCTTTGTGGCTGGGTGCTTATGCTATTGGGCCCTGAGGACTAGGGCTTGTGAATCTCTAGTAGGCAGGGATATAGAGGTGCTATGGTCGGGCTGTGTCTTCCAGACATTTATATAATTGGAAACCTTACCCTCCAATTCATAAGTTGATTGTACTTAGAGGAGGGACCTTAGAGAGATAATTAAGTAAAGTCATGAAGGTGGGATTAGTGGCTTTATAAGAAGAGGAATGAGACCCCACCTGGTGTACTTGTTCTGTCTTGCCATTGATGTCCCTGCTATGTTATGATGAGCAATAAGGTGCCTACTAAATATCACCACCATATTCTTGAACTTCCCAGCTTCCAGAACTGTGAGCTAAATAAACCTCTATTTTTAATACATTTCCAAGTCTCAGGTATTTTGTTATAACAACACATAATGGCCTAAGACTGGTGGGTTCACAGAAGGTACTCCATAGATGCTTCAGGCACTGTAGCTTGTTCTGCCCCACAGAGGGCCCAGTTGCATGGTAGGTGACTCACTCAGTCAACCACTCCTTTCTGTTGTTGCAGGAAGGTCCCCAGCCTACACGCCTGAGGATACAGGGATGCACACAGGTGGCCAACTGGCAGCCCCACTCCCCTGACCATGTGCTCTGAACAAGTGCAAAAGTGGATCCTCTAAAGACTCCCTGTTACTCACAAACAGAGTGGCAAATGGGGAAATATGAGATGAACACAAAAGAGCTCACGTCTTCTAAAGAAGAAACACACTCATCTTTGTCATACATTTTTTAAAAAAAGACTTTGCTGCTAATCCTTGGATTCCCACTCTCTTGGGCACCCCTAACAAGAGGAAACAGGCCAAATCTGACAGTGATATTCATCTCTGTTATTCCCACACCTCAAGGGAAATATGTTTATTAATGTGCTTCTTCCCTTGATAAATTACTAAATAGGAAGAAAAGCCTGGCACTCATTTCCCATAGCTTCACCTGTGATTTATAGCTGGGGACTGGCAGAGCCACGGCATCCATTCATCTATAGACGCACCTGTTCTAGCACTGGGCAGCCCCTGGGTGACTGGCCACCTGCCTGTCCTCACCTGGGCAGATGTCCTACCCTGCCTGTTCCTGTCACCACCTGTCTCTCCCACTGGTTCTTTTTCTTTTGCTCGTGCCCATTTGTTCATTCATCCAGCAGACCCTCCTCCAGCCTTGAGAAGTGCCAGGCACTGGCAGGCACTCAAAGACTCTGGAGGCACTCTGCCTCCATGGCACTCACTGTCTGGGTGAGAGATGAAAACAGTATCTGCAGTACCAGGCAGGATCCACAGGGGTTACCTAGTGAGGAATTCCCCAGGGAGCCCCAGCATGCTCCAGAGGGAGGTTGTTGCTTTCCTTGGGGCTCTGGGAGGGAAGACTCAGGCAGACCAGGCTCTGACCCTCTGAACCCCTCTACACTGGGTGGCTCTAGGCAAGTGACTGGCTGTCTCTGAGCTGGATCCCTGAGCAGAGGATGGGCTAGCTGCACCCACCTCAAGATCTTGTGGGCTGGTGGCCATTGTCTTATGCATTGTGCAGGGTGGGCCTCAGTGGAGCCAGAGCTGGGGACTCCCCCACCCCCAGCGCCTATGGACCCAGGAACCTGGGCTGAAGGACAGTGGGAGGGAGCTCTGTTCTGGTGCAGTGACCCAGCAGCCTTCCCCATACCCATAGGCATCCTCAGCACAGGGCTTGGATGTACCTTCCTGGGGAGAGCAGAATGAGGCCTATGGAAGTGCTGGTGTGTCCTGAACCCCCACAGTGCTCCCTGGGTGGCCCAACGACCTCTTGCAGGTCTCTTCTGGACACACTGAGGACATCCTTGAGAGTCCACCTTGAGGACCGCAACCTGCCCACACTTAGCTGTTCACAGCCCCTCTCTTATGTTCCCCTGCTTTTGGGGGAGCTAAGAGAGTCTGGGGCATGGAGCCAGGAGGCTTGGGTTTAGGCCACTAGCCCCACTGCTGAGTTATGTGACAAAGACATAGAAACTCAGGGTCTGGGCCAGGTTTTCCCCTGGCTTCACAGTGCTGGCCGGGAACAACGTGTCCTGAGGTTTACCAGAAGACTCATGAACACCACTCTGCCCATGCTGGTATCCAGCAGCTTGCGCTCTAGGACTTTCAGGCATGGTCTCTACCTCAGTCTCCCGTCCTGTCCAAGATTGGGGCTGGACTCCCTGCCTGACTTGAGCCTCTGGCAACTCCTGCACCGACTCTTCCTGCCTCTCTGTGGTATGATCAATGTAATTGGCTTTTGAGTCCCCCCTTCCCCTAGATCCACAGGCAGTATAAAGAACGGGTGTCACAATGGAGGTGACATCCAAGTCGAATTAGTGTCAATATGACAATAAAATATACAGCTTGGAGGAAATATGGGCTGTATACAGACAGCATTTCAATCGGAAACATTTCCATCTTCTCAATGTGGTAGGGGTGGGGGAAGGGAGGACATGCTGCAGCAGTGCTGTGGTTAAATCACCAATATTCAACAGCTTAACATGAGAAGATGCCATTTTAGGGCCCGAGTGACAACTAGTGAATTTTCTGCTCTCTAGAGAGCCTGCAGGGGGATATTCTTGGATCCCTGACGGATTCTCTGTACCCTTCCCAGGGGCTGGAGGGGGTGGGCTCACACGGGACCTGGAATCTCCTCGTCCTGCTACATCTTGGCCTAGGGCCCAGGCAGAAGGTGGGGCTGAATTTTTGGATCCCTACCCCCCCTTTCCAGGGGTCTGCTTGCCCTCCAGCCTTTCCCCTGCACTGTAGTGTTCCCCACATGTAGGGTGTATGCACGGCCCAGGTGAGATTAGGGTAGGTTCCATGGAGATGAGATAGGACATCCTCCTCAAATCAGATCAAGTTTTCCATGTCAAGAGAAAATATAAAGTTCCATTTAAGGCCTAGTTATTTAATTCAAAAAGGTAAGTCAGTTAAAAATACTAAATATGCAATCATGCCAATGGCACTTGGCTAAGGTAACAACCATACTCTGGTTAACATGTGCGCCAACTGGGGCCAAGGCACTGCAGGACGAGGCCCCACCCGGTGTTCCTATGTGCCTGCTCAGCTTGCCATACTGCCTGGCCGGTCCTGTCCCTGTGCCCTGTTACCCACTGCATCACTGTCCGTGTGTTGTGAGACAGACAGAGAAGGCCTATTCTCCCTGGCTTCCTATGAGCTCTCGAGGGCCCTTGTACCTGTGCAGAAGTCACACATCAAGGCTGTGTCTATGGATGACTTGCTGATGTGAGCCAATATGTCCTTAGAGACCCAGGACCCTCCTACAGGGGATCTCTGGAGCCAGAGAGCCAGTGCCATGTGACAGTTGGCTTCTTGCCTCCACAAGAATGCTGAGCAAAAGTGAACTTGGTGGAAAGATCTGCTCCATCTCTGCTATAGGGACTGAACTTCCCAGAGGGACTCCACAGGCCTGCTTGGCTGGGAACTGCTGGAAACACAGGAGCTGGAGGGGCCCATCTTGGCTCCCTGGCTCAGGGGAGGGTGTGACTGGGGCAAATCCCAGAGGCAAATCCTGTTTCTGCTGCCCTCCCACCCGGGTGAGGAGCATCGGCAGTGTTCAGTGTCTCAGACATGCCTCTGAGTGGCACATCTGCACCGGTATCGAGCCGAGTGGAAGTGCCTACAATATTCTAGAAAGTGGAGGCAAAGATTCTAGTTCTGGCTTAAACTTGTTTGAAGTGGTTGGAGGTGCGGTCCAGTGATATGTCCCATGCTTAGCATGGGGGAGGGGGAGCTGGATGCAACCTCCAGCACCAAAAAAAGAGAAGGAAAAGAAAAAAAGACTCTGTTTCTGCAACAAAGTGCGTTAAATAGTGACAAATGCAAAAGATCTGAGATTGCTCTGATCTTGGGTTATAATAGATTGGGAAACAGAAATCACCTGTTCTTGAAATCGTAGTTAAGGAAAAATTCCCACCCTCGCCTCATGGCTGACTCTGAGCATCTGACACCTTTATTTAGGCCAGCTCTGGAATCTGGTGATGCTTGAGATGGAAGTGGGGGAAGAGGGCGGGTGTGATGAGTTACTCAGTGGCTGCTGACGTCAGCCAGGAGTTCTCCTGCCCACCCATGAGCTCACCTCCTTGCCTGCCTCTATGGCCTTGGCCTTCCGGTTGCTCAAAGAAGCTCAGCCCCCCAGATGCTGCCCAGTGCAGAGTGCCCCAGAGAGAACAAAGCTGCGCCCCAGCCACTTTTCAGGCTGCCTGCCAGCCCGCAGCTGCTCTCCCACCACAGCAGTTTCTGCACTAATTAGTCTGTATCTTTCTACTCCAGTCCCTTTGTAACGACCACTCTCTTCCTCATCCTACGCACAGGGAGGGCCTGCCCGTCAGATGAGCCTCAACCTGGGACTTGCCATCTTGTTACACAGAAGGAGAAGCACTAGCCAGTTCTGATGGGGGAGACTTGGGTGCTGCTGGGTAGACCCAGAGGCCTGGGACTCTATTCAAGTGGTGACCTGGGTGAAGTCCTAGGGCACTGTGTGTGAATTAGTGTGGCAAACCAGCTGGTGCTGCAGGGTGGGGAGGTGTCTGGGGACCTCCAGTTCCCCAGAGGAGGCAGCAGTGAGACTGAGGGGTCTAAGCTCACAGTGTCAGAGAGGAGACCTGGAAAGGTGGCAAATAACTGGCTGGCCAAGGAAGGTGACAAGCCACACTTGGCAGGCCTCAGGGATGGCATAGATGGCAAAATGGTGAGAAAAAGGTGGCCAGGAGGGCCTTTGTCCTGGGATTAAGCCTCAATGGACAGAGGTGCAGACAACTGACACAGAATCCTACAAGAGGATAAGGGGGTGGCTTTGAAAGAGGGAAAAGAATACTTGAAGACAGAGACCAAAACTAGCATTGGTTGAGTACCTAGTATTAGGCCAGGTGCTGGTCACACGCACACAATGTGTTTAATCCATCCTAGGGTTACCACCTCGCCCCTATTTGGGGAAACAGGAGACACCCAAGAGGGCACAAGGACTACACCACTGGTTCCTATAAGCCTTAGGTGGGCAGGACAGAGAGAGTAAAACAGGAGCCAAGGAGGGAGCCTGCCACTGTGGCTCAGGACAGGCACAGGGAAGGAAGATAAATCAGCAAGGATGAGATCTCAGCCCTGCTTGAGGGAAGTGAGGCAGAACAGCAGGAAGGCTGGGGACAGAGCTGAGGTCAGGAGCCCACCCTGGGACCGGCAGATCTGCTGCCCACCAGCGCTCTCCAACCTGCCACAGTCAGCACAAGCCAGAGGGCATCAGAGCTGCCCCACAGGCCTCTGCCTCCGCCTGCCATGGGCCATTTGTGAGTGGAAAGGCCGGCCAGGCGGGGCTTGAGGAGATGCCTGCCTGCAGGCCAGCTGTGGCTCCTTTCCCTCTGTCTGGTTGCACACCCAGGCACCTCTGAGAAGGACCTGGAGCCACACTGACGGGAAGGACAGCCGTGCATGTGGCATTTGGCAGGAGGAAAAGACTCCCACTTACCTAAACAGGACACCTGCCCCCTTCCCTATCAAATAGGTGCTGCTTACAACCAAGTCTCAGTTATTGACGGCTGTGTCCTCCATCTGCTTGAATCCAAGATCTTGATGTTGACCTCACCTCTCTTCTTGTCCTTCAAGTCTCCATCTGATCTGGGGACAGTCTTGTGCCCCTGCCTTCACAGTCTACTGAAACACCACCAACCGTCAGATCTGCTAACTGGACCTCTGCTTCCCCTTGGCCCTACATCAGTTCTCAGATTAGCACAGAACAATATGCCTTTCAAGAATAAATCAGATCACTTCACCCCTGTGTGCGCCCAGACTTTTGCATGGCTTGCTTCTTCTAATGATGTGCTGGAATACCATCTTCCTAATCAGGGTTTCTCTGGCTTCCTTTTTCCAAATTGTACTCCCAGTCCAGCCTGTGCTCTCCCTCCTGGTTGCTACTTTGTGCCCCATTCCATTTATAACTGGTCATTCCATCTCATCATTCCTAGTGCTGTGTGGTGTCTGTTGGCCCCATTATACCATTGCTTCCACAAAATCAGAGATGAGTGTTTTGTTCATGGTGATGTCCACAATGCTTAGTACCCTTCCTGGTCCATACAACTCAGAAAGTGCTGTTGGGAGACTTGAGTCCTCTGTGGGGGGCAGTGTGGTGGCCACTGGGGTAAAGGTCTACCTCTCTCTCCCAAGGGAACAGAGAATGCTCTTTGCTGCCTCAAGGGGGCGGCCATCAGCGACCCCTCTGTCTTGCTTCCCTTGGGCCTGGACCCCCACTCCATAGTTACACCCCAGCACTCACCATCCACTGGGTTGAGGTAGTCGTGGAGATGGGGTGCACCAGCAGGACCCCCACTCTGCACCAGAAGGTCCCCATAGGGTGCAGGGTGGCCAGCCATGAGCGTCATCTGGGGGTAATAGTCCGAGGGGTTGGTGCCTGGGGCAGCGAGGCCAAATAGGCCCCTTTCCTTCAGGTGCTCGTGGGTCACTGTAGGACAAGAGAGAAGGAAGCCATCAGAACCCAGCACTAGCTGCATCTTTCCTGACCGAAGAAAGAAAAGAGAAACACATATCTGTCCGAGGGGTCCCTCCTGCCCACCTGTGTGTCATTATCAGCTGTGAGCTGGGCCCCATCTTCACCAGTGTGGGGGGCAAGCCACTGCTGCAGAGAGAGGCCAGGTCCAGCCTCGGCCTGCCTCCATCACCTTAGTCATAAATAATCTCCCCTTCCTCCCTGCCAGAGCCCCAGGGTGACAAGATCCAGGGCCCAGCACCCTTTAAAGTGGGAAGATAATGTGAAAGGAAGTGCCATGGCAGGTAGCATGGGCCTGGTCAGCCTTCGACAGAACATCCAGGGCAAGGTGGATGCCGGGAGTTTCTGGGCCTTGGCCAATGCCCGTAGCTCCTGCCCCCATGGCGCACAGCCCAGACTGGAGGAGGTTGATTCTGAGTATCTGGGGGCCTGGCACTCAGTACTGCTGGGCTAGAGAATGACTTTGAGTAAGCTTGGGCACCAAACACATCTATGAAGACTCCTGGCTTTTACTAGATGTGCAAAACCGGAAGGTGCCATCTCAGCTTTCCATCTGTAAAATGGGAGTAAGAATGGCCCTTCTGAAAATTGCTATCAAATCCCAACTGCTCCACTCAGTGTGTGACAAGCGCTCACTCACTGGGTGTGCAGCAGGCCAGTTCTGAGGGGGTGCTCACAAGCATTCCTCAATCTTACTGTTACTAAAGCACCAGGAGCTGGAGCCATCCTTGCCAGACCCACAGAGCAGATGAGGTCTCCAGCCTTTAGTTCAATACCTTGTGTGAGGTCCCTCGGTGGCCAAGTGGCACAGCTGGATGGAACCTGTAGTTTGAATCTAGAGCTGAAGTCCTAACCACTGTGTGTCATGGCCTCTCTGCTCTTAGTGCTGGCCAACAGAGTGCCATTTTACGTGAATTTGGTGGAGAGATGAAAGAAGCAGATGGAAGGCACCGGTCTCCTCTTCCCCTTCCTCCTCTTGCTCTGAACTCCAGCCAGGCTGACCACCCTAGTGTCTGCCTACTCTGTCCACTCTGAACAATGCCTTGCTCACTCCCTTCCCTGAAGCCCTCCCTGGAGATCCCTTTTGTTCCCAGGATGCACATGGCTTGGTAAGCACTGCCTGGGATTGCTCATGAACTTTCTTTCCTGATAGGATTGCTCTGTGGGCCAGATACACCAACTCTGGCCACTTAATAGCTTGCTCTGGGGCTGGTGGAACCTTGGGGTATCTGGTCTACCTGCTGTGGGAGTCAGAGGTATGCAAATTAGCCAGGTGACCGTGGTGCTGAGCCTGTTCCTTCTGTCTCACTGGGTGTGGCTAGAGTGAGTAGCTGTTACAGGAACCACACCAGTGTTTATGTTGAAATTAGGCATAACAGGGTGCTCCAACCAGAAAGGTCTCTTCTCCAAGGCACCTGTCTCCCACCCATTTCTGCAGGGGCCACACTGCAATCCATGTAGTGACTCCTGAGTATCTTAGGACACTCTTGCTTTCCTTCTCCTGTGACACCTCTTAGGGCCCAGTGTGGCTCTGGCAGGGCTGCTGGCTTCTGCTTCTTCTTAAGAGCACTGCTACTATGTATTAGTATACAAAGGTTGCTACAATAAAAGGCACAAACTCAGTGCTAATTATTGTTAAAACAACAGAATTTGGACTGGGAACGTAGCTCAGTGGCACTGCACCTGCCTGGCAAGCTCAAGGTCCTGAGTTGGATCCCCTTTAGCAGGGGAAAACAACAACAACAACAAAAAACCCCCCACACACTCAGTATAAAACAATAGAATTTTATAGCTCTGGAGGCCATAAGTCCAAATTCAAAGCATCAGCAGGGCAGGCTCCTTCCAGAGGATCTAGGGAGAACCTGTTTCTTGCCTCCCCCAGCCTCTGGTGGCTGCTGGCCTTCTTGGTTGTGACCACATCATTCCCATCTCTGTTTCTGACTTAACATCACTGTCTCCCCAGGTGTCTCTTATAAGGACATCTGTCATTGGTGTGAGGTCCCAGGTAGATAACTGAGGATGATCTAGATTTCTAAATGAATGATAATTGGAAAGCCCTTTTTCTAAATGAGGTGACACCCACAGGGCCAGGGATGAAGATGTGAGTTCATCTTTAGGGACATCATTCAGTGTTGGAGACAGCATCTGGAGCCTGATGAGCACCCTCATGGTGCCACCAGCCTATCCCTGGCTGGGTCATCAGGAGTAATGGGACCTTTCCACAAGTCAGCAACTTGGGTGGAGTCGTATCATCTTCAGGACCCCATCTCAGTCAAGGTCACTTAAGGGACCCATGTGAAGTTCAGAGCTGGATTTTAACCATAAGGGGCCATTTCCCAGTGGCAGCACATTCTGGTTGGCTATTTTTAGGCCTGGTGGTCACAATCACTTGCCCTGCTTAGTTTGCTTCTAGAGAAGACCAGGCAGATCACAAACTTCCTTCCTCCTGGAACATAAGCCTGATGTTTCAGGGCATGGTTTTTTCACACTTGGAAGCCAGGAGCCCCTTATCACTGTGGAACTTCAGCCAGCACCTTCACAGAGCCAGGCCTCAATTTCAGCTCAAGATCACACCCTGAAGGTGGGAGGGGACACATTTCTCTGGGGTTGAATGACAGCAATAACGAGGGACTGGCTGGGGCCGTGTTTCCCAGAGCCTCTGCCCATGGGCTCACAGTGCACACTTCAAATGTCTTTTGGCTTAGAAATGATCCTGGCCTGAAACGTTAAGCCTCAGTGGCAGTTCTGAGAAGATGCTGCTGGGTTGCTTTCAAGGATAGGACCACAAGAGGCTAACAGCACTGTTAGAGCAGCACTGCAGGGCAGAGGGTAGTGCCCATGCCATGCCAGGGAAGGAGGTGCACTTACCAGCTCCAAGTATGCTCTCTGCTGTCCAGTGCATGTGTGGATGTATGTACCCATGAGTGTTTGCATGTATGGGTTGGGGAACAGAGGGTGGAAACCACAAGTATTTTAGATCTGAAAAGCTTATTTGTATCATGTGATACTGCCCTGTCCTGACTCCGACTGGTGGTGGCTGGCTGGTTTCCAAGATGGACCAATCAGTTCCAAGTTCACTCCTGGAGTGTCAGGGGCTGGACTGCCACTGGTAGGCCACCTGTGCTGACCTACATGGGGCCCAGAAAACAGACACAGGGGACAGCCAGCCAGCGCTCCCTTCCTCCTGCTCTGGGGCCCTGTGAGACACTCCCTACACAACACCCCTTTCCTTAACACCAGCTCCTGCAGACTCCAGTTTATTTCAGGGTGTGGTTCTCACCCAGGACAGGACCTACACGAACGGACCTTCACCCTTCTGGCGAAGCATGCAGAAGAGCTCTGTAATAAGCACAAAACCCAGGGAACTCCCAAATCTCTCAGCTGTCACCATTCATTTGCTGAAAAGTCTGTATTCAGAAGCAGTGGGAAGGAAAGCCAGCCTGGTCACAGTCCCAGGGGACAGAGGCTGTGGTGAGCCCGATGCCCCTTCAGAAGCCCTTCCCAGCCCCAGGCCCTTCTCACCGTCAGTGGGGCTGAGGCCCCTGGCTGCTGAGATCATGGAGAGTGTGGGACTGCTGTGCACAGACCGGAGGTAGTGCTCCATGTGGGGGTTCACGTAAGGGTGGGGGGCGTTGAAGGGGGACTCCCCAGGACCAGCAGGGTGCGGCGAAAGCCGGATCAAGGAGATGTCCGAGATGACAGGGCTGCCGCTCAGAGTGGGAGGCCTGTGGGGACAAAGCAGTGACCTCAGAAAGAGGGCGCACAGGGCCTCCAAGAACCCAAGAACCCCAAACCGACACGAACAGCCCTTGATTGTCTAGGAAGACTCGCCACAAAACCCTGCACTTTTTATTTCGTACACTGAGCCCTGTCTTGAATGTCCACCAACAGGGATCCACGGGGCTTGTTTCCTGTGGCCTGAGCTGGCCACTTCCAGACTCTGCACCCCATAGGGCTTTTTGTTCCCAGCTGCCTGGGCCTCTGAGCAGCTATAAGGGTGTTTCAGGGTCATCTACTCCAAATCGTGTCCCCTTGAGACAAATCAGACTTTACTAAATCACTCGGAGCCACATTTACCAAGATCTGAGCTTCAATTTTTCAGAAAATAGGGTATCTTTATGGTTTGACACAACATAAAGAGTATGGGTGAGAATCAGACTAGATTGGAATTACAGCTGAATCACACTAAACAGTTAATTTCTGCATCTGTAAAACAGGACAATAATGTGTCTGTTACATAGAGTTGCCATGAAGGTAAAAGTCCTCTAAACTGTGCCTGACTCTCAGCAGATAGGCCATATAAGACAGCTGGGATTATAGCATTACTCCCCCACCTAGGACAAACCCAGAAGTGCCCAGGAAGCCTCTGCATCTTCCCACAGGACAGATGGTGCATGCGTGAAAGGTATGATGAGAATTGGTTACTCTGGGCAGAGAATGATTGCTCTGGAGCTGAGCAAACTGGAGATAATTACTGATTTTATGTTCAGCGGTGCATGGAAACTGGGCTTACAACGCAGTACAAGCTAGGACCCAAACAGGTGAGGTCCAGATGTCTTCCTATTTGGGTTTTACAAACTTCCCACAAGAGGCTACTCTTCAGGGCGTGGAGGTAAATACTCTGCTACACATGTGACTGCAATGGATGTGAAGACCCAGGGATCCTGCCAATTCTTACCAGCTTCTGTGCTTTGGCCCATGCCAATCCTTGACTGCCTCCTTCTCATCCCTACAGCCCAGTGTGGAACCCACTGGGTGACTCCCCCCCAAAGCCCCTTCCCCTGGCTCGCACCCTTCTCTGCTCTCAAGGTGCATTGTTTTGGTCTCCAGTTGGTGGGTCCATCTCTCAGGGTGACCAAGTTCTTCCGGGAGTAGGGTGTGTCTGGGCACTGCTGCACACTCAGCTGGCACACTAAGAAGCACTGAGTTTTTTTCAGGATCATTGACAAGCACATGTTTGTGTGTCAAACACCAAGGCTGGCAGAAAGCAGCCTCGGGGATAATCAAGAGCCACCACTTCTTGTAGCTGTTCTCACTCCCAGTCCACCTCTAGAGCCAGAGCCACCTGCAAGGAGTTGTCATTAAGTGTGAGGCCTTAAGATATGGCTTTGCTCTGGGCAGGGGCTGTGTCTCAAGGGAGGAAGAATGGAACAGATTGATGTACCCTCTGGCCAAGGACAGCTCCTGCTGGCATGTGACTACAACAGGAAGGACACATGATTTTGGTAAAAGACTGAAGAGAACATCACTCCACCCTCCTGGCTCCCAGGGGTGGGCATGGGGCTGAAGGAGACACACCTGGAGGCTAGGTATGCTACAGTGACAAGTAGATGTCCATGGGCTGGAGGACAGCTCAGGCACCTCCTGTCCCAATTCCCTGGCCCTCTCAGGGACACACCAGGCAGAGCAAGTTCCCAGAGCCTGCAGTGGCTGGGTCTTGAGGACACAGCAGCCTGTGGTCACTGAAGCTGGTGGCCCTAAGTGGCTTGCCCAGCTCCCAAACCAGAAACACTATCTCTGGCCCCAAGGTTTCACTGCAGATGGTGGCAGCTACAGCTGAGGCCCCTAAGCCAGCAGTCACATGGGGCTTTCCAGCAGCACACGGAGGCCACATGATGGCCCCGGTGAGTCTGTCTGAGGTAAGCCAGATCCATCCAGCCAGATGAGTCTCTGCCCAGGAGGAGGCAGGAGTGAGGTGGTGCTGCGGCTGTACAGGGCTGCCTGAGAATGGGCACCTGTCCCCCGTGCAGGAACTTGGACTTCTGTCTCTTCAGAGTAGCTGCCACCTTTGGAGGAAGGTGAGCTCTGCCTCCCCTTTCCCTTACCTGTCGTCAGCAAGGACACGGGACCTCCCATAGGCCGCTGTCCTCCCTCTCCAGGCCTGAGGTCATGGGGATATCCCTGAGCTCCTTGCAGGATCTCAGCCCCTGGGGTCATGGCAGCCCCTCCAGCACAGAAGCCCTGGCTTCATGCCCACCAGGCCGGGCAAACAGCTCCTGTGCCAACAGCTGTGCCCAGACAGGGGATCACATCCCAGGGCTGTGCAGCCAGAAGGAGGCAAGTAAGGGTCTCCTGGAGTGGGCCTTATTCCCAGGATGGTGCCCCTTGTCCAGGGCTGCACTGCACCACTGGGGACTCTTACCTGGATGGGATGCTCAGAGGGGCTGCTGCCCAGCCTGAGAACAGACTCCCCAAGGGAATCTCAGCACATGAGGAGCAGATCTGGCTTTGGGAGGCTGTTCTGTAGGACCCAGAGCTTGGAAGGTGGGGAGACAGAACCCTACATGGGGGCACAGCTTGCCCCTTCAAGAGCTCTAGTTGTCTTGCTAGCACTGATCCTTTTACTTAGCTGAGTGGCCTCAGCCAGGTTGATGACCTTTTCTGGTGGCTTACCAGGGTGGTAGAAAGAGACAAGTGCATATGGTAGGGGGTTAACTCGTGTTAGTTTCCTTTCCAAGAACAAGTCAACTTGGAACATGGAGCGTCTGTTGACCTGGGGACTCAGGGCACCCAGCCAATTGGTCCATCAGCCAGTGTAGCCAAGGATGACTCTCTAGACACTTCCTCCAGGAAGCCTTCCTAGATGTCCCCTCTACACAAGGCCACCTAAATCACAGCTATACCCTGGCAGCTTAGCACAGGGCAGTGACATGCCAGCCACCAGAAGGCCATATGTACATATTTCCTCTTTTGATCCAAATAAAAAATTCCTAAAGTAGGTACTTTCTGCTCATTTTACAGATGACAACACACCAGGAAGACCAAGTCCCTTGGCCATTATCCCTCAGCCAGCAGGTGGAGGAGCCACACCCAACTCAGGTGAGTTTGGGCTCAAGCCTGTGTCCTCAGTGGAGAAGTGGGTGCTCTTGATGAGTTCAGTTCTTTATGTGCCAAGCCTGGGCTGGGGGCAGGATCAGGGAGAGGGCAGCACCTGAGAGCAGAGCAGCTTTTACCTCACACTGTTTCAGCCCCTTATGTCCCCACCTCCACTCCATGGCCACACATAGCCTACTTCAGGAGGGCCAGGGACCTCTACCTCACATTGTGTCGTACGTGACTGATAAGAATCCAGGGTCATTGTCATTTCCAAGACATTGTCACTTTGCCAGACCAAACAAAGCCAAAGGATGAGTCTCAAACGGCAAAATTCCAAGGATTATGAATTCACTGGGGGAAACAGGGAGCTTCCAGCAGCCCTGACCCCATACCAACAGTGCCAATCCATAAAGGAGTCTTTTGGGGCTTCCAGGACCTAAGCTTTGCTTTCTTCAATGCTTGGCACCACCCCATGATCCAAATGAGAGTCCTGGGCATGTTGGGTGCTGGGAGTGCCCCCTCATCAGCAAAGGTGTCTGCTAGTGAGGTCTGCACCCTGCTCCAGGCTAGTCCCACCAGCAGCCTCCCTCCTGTTTCTATTTCTACACAGTTGTGCTGTAGGGGCCAGCCTAGTCTGAACCATGGCTGTCCGTGCCTTGCACTCTGGCAGCTGGCAGAGGTTCAAAGAGGCAGCCTTGAGGACAAGAGGAGGAGCCAGCTGTCTGAGCTCAATGTAAACAGCAGTGTTACAGACACACGAGTGTGCACATCCACACTGCCCTGGGTGACAGAGCCGCCCTCTGCACTCTGCTCTTATACACTGCTCCGAGCTCCTCTGAGCCTGGCCTTACCAGAAGATCCTTCTTAAGTTTGTTCACTCTTTCAGTGAGGCTGCCCTGAGCCCACACTCTGTGTCCAGGGAACTTCAGGGAGGTCAGAGTCCTCGTGGAGGAGGCAGACTGAACCAGGTGAGCACAGGGCAGTGCGATAGGAACACAGTGCATAGGAAGAGTTCCCTGACTGTCCCTGATCTGCACTTCTCCTTGCTTGCAGGCTGACACAGTTGTGAGATGAGATGAACCAAGTATGGAAAGAGTGCGGGGTAGCATCAGGTGCTTGATAGGGAGAGGAAGGTTTCCTAAAGAAGGTGAATTCTGGTTGAATCCTGAGGGATGAAGAAGAATTCATGAGGAAATACATTATAAACAAAGCAGGCAGCATGTGCAAAGAAAGGCTGGAGCATAAAGCTATGTGTGTGTGAAGGTAATGCCTCAGGCAGTGGGGCAAAGCCTACAGAGCACTTTGGGGTGGATTGATGGACCCACTTTCTTTCTTCTGCTCTGGGCAGGAGGACATATGACCCAAGTGCATGTGGTCAGAACACTCCCTATCCCTGGGTACCTTGACTGGTTCAGTGATGGGCACATGCCCGAGGCAGCCACTCTGGCTGGAATTAGTGAGAAAGAAGGTCTCAGGTTCATAGGGTGGCTAAGCTGGTAGAATGCAGGCATGGAGCTGCTGGGGGACCTGGGAGAGGGGAGAAGAATGAACTGAGATGGGATCAGCTTCTACTTGAGCCCCTGGGTCCAGATTCAGTTTTGCCTAAAACTGGCTTTTCCAGTTATCTGAGCCAAGAGCCAAGATCTGTGTGTGTGTGTGTGTGTGTGTGTGTGCGTGCGCGCGCTGTAAGTCGCTTCAAACTGAGTTTTTCTGTCTTAGGCAACTGTCAGGGCTTGTCCAGGGAGGCCTTGACCATTACAGCCTTCCCCTGCCCAGTGACCCCTGATGTGGCACCCTGCAAGGCAGACCTGAGCCCCAATTCCTCAGGTCTGTCCACCTTGTGCCTGCAGGGCTGGGCCCAAAATGTCAGTGTTGGGGCAGAGGAAGTAAAGACAGAAAGGAGGGAAAG